ATTGTGTGAGGAGTGGGAATGAGTGAAGCAGCAGCTCTGAAGCCAGCTCTGGCGACATGCCTTGGGAGCAGCATCTGCTGCTGTTGGTGGAGGGCAGTGAGCAGCCCTTCTCTTTGGATCTCGTGTGCCAGGTGTGTTGAGTGCTGTGCACAGAGGGAGTGTGGGTGCCCTTCATTTCAGCAAGGAGGAGGGATTATGCAGGTCACCTGTAAGGCTCTTGGAGAGGCTGCGCTGCTGAAATTGATTTGCTTATAGGCACAGACAAGGAAAAAAAGTGGGTAAAGCTTAGAACTGGGTCCTCTTTGGGTCCACTCTGCAAGGTCATACTAGTTAGTGGCTGTGGTTTAGGTTGGGCCCTTGGCACTGCACGGTGTGTACACACTGCACAGTGAAGAAGCTCTGTGGGTATTGTGCTCTGTAGCTCCAGCAACAATGAGGCTGACGCACTAGAGCTGCTTTGGCTGCAGCACGGGTCATGCAAGAATAGCTTTCCTCACTGCCAGACTCTTCCCGTAAAGCTCATACTGTTCTGGGTATGGGGAGGCCAGCAGAGTGCATGCCTGGCTTTTTACTGCTTCCTCTCTGTTCCTCAGATGTTTGGTTGTACTTAAGGCCTTCCAGTTAATGTGAATCAGATACCTTTGGTGGAGAACCAAATTCCAATCAGTTCTCGACACTTTTAGTGCTCTCACAGAGCACATGACTGCAACTTTTTACCTGTCGGCTAGGATAGCTTGATCTGTGAAGAAACTGGTGCTTGTTCTGGTGCTTTTCCTGCCCAGTGCCTCAGGTGGAGTAGAGTAAAGATGTTTATGTTCTCTCTTTTTCCCTCCTTAGCCAAAGCCCGACAGTGACGCTGCAGTCGACCAATACTCACACGCAGAGCAGCAGCTCGAGTTCAGATGGAGGTCTCTTCCGCTCCCGACCCACCCACTCGCTCCAGCCAGATGAGGATGGGCGTGTGGAGCCCTACGTGGATTTTGCAGAGTTTTATCGGCTTTGGAACATGGACCATGGCGAGCAGGGAGCACTGACTGTGTCCTAACGTGTATCTGCCTCCTGCAGACACCTTGTGCTCGTCTGTGTGAGCAAAGCCTGAGGCAAGAGTGAGTGTGTTGCACTGAGGGCTGCGTTTGCCCAGAGCTGACTCCTAGCCAGGATGTGCTGCACACTGAGCAAGGGATCTCGTGCACTACACACGTGTTGCCATGCTCCCAATCCTGCCCAGCCCTGGGACACCCTGGGAATAGGGGAAGGGGTCTTGAATGCAGCCCTCACTGCAGGTTTTTGCGAATAAAGGTGTGGAGAGGGCTCCGTGTGGATCAGGCAGGAGTCAGGCCCGTACGAAGGCTGCGTGTGTGCGCGTGTGTAGGTGTACACGTGTGTACCTGCGTGTGTGTGTGTGTGTGTGTGCTGTCATAATGTTTCCACAACTCAATTCATAATGCTGTGATTCCAGTGTTCAACTCCATAGAAGATACCTCTATTTTGCAGAATAAATAACTTATAGCTACAGTCACTGGCACCCATGTGGCTTGCTCTCTTCCTTATAATGTTGTGTGTGGGTGTGACAGCTCCTCCTGGTGAAACCTTGTATTCCTCCTGAACAGAGGCTTGCACCTTGCAGGAGGAAAGCTTCTGCTGAAAATGTGGCCTGAAGCCTTGCAGGTGACTTACAAGCATAGGCTCTTCATCTACTTATTCCTGAGCTTTGGCAGAGAATTATGGCTTAGAGTCAAACCATAAATATGGGTTATTGTTTTTCATAGGTAAAATGCACGTTTTTTCCCTTAATGTAGGCCATCTGGAAAGGTGTAGAGGGCAGGTGGTGTTTGTAATGAAGTTTGCCTGTACAAGCACCTGGTGCTGCGCAGCTGGAAGTCACAACTCTGTCGTGGTGCCCTGAAGATGCAGATGGGCACCCTCGCATCAGAGCGGGGAGGTGTGCAGCGACGAGAGGAGTGTCCTGCTGGCTGCACACAGGAGCCCATCTTGCCTGGATTTGCTGGCCGAGGCGTCGGGATCACGGCAATCCTCCTCTTCAGTTCAGGTTTCTGACGGCAGGCGGCAAGCGAGGCTCTTCCCTCCCGGCTCCAGCCGTCCCCTGAGCCTGCCCCGCTCCCTGCGAGCCTTTCCCCGGCAAACACGGGAGGCCTCGGGGGTGACCCGCAGCACCTGGGACCTCTGGGGCGTTGCGATGAGGCACCAGGCAAAGCCAGGAGAGGGCTAGAGGGGATTAGAGGGGCAGGGGGAAGAGGAAGAACTGGCCGGGGTTCCTTCCTGCGTTTATATTTGCATCCAGGCTTGTCACTTTAGGAAGAAGGGAAATGAGATTGGATTAGGGTGATGTAGCAGGGAACGCTGTAATTAAGGCCTGTGTGTAGCCAAGCCCTGATGTGTGGTGTGCAGGTTTGATGCACTTGTGTGGCATGCCAGCCTGGAAAGGAGGATTTATCCCTTTGGGTAAATGAAGTAGCACTGAGTGCCCAGAGGTAAGACCTGAGCTCACTGAGGAGTGTGTGGGCAGGATCAGAGCAGTGAGGAATGCCAGTTTCCTGGGAAGGCACAGCAGGAATCCCTTGTGGGTGGCTCTTTGCCGCTGCCCCCTCCAGGTCCCGCTGGCACAGCTTTGCCCTGCGGGATTCTGTGTGCTGCCGGACTGCCTGCAGAAGCTTGTGTTTCCCTTTCCCCTGTAGCTCCCAGGGAGGCTGGGTGTGCTGAACGTGCCAGCACAGGCACCTCCTGTCGAGACCCTTCCAGCCTTGCCTGGGAAGTGACACTCTGTGGCGCGGAGGCAAAGGCAGCAGAGTTGCAGGAGGTTTGGTGCTCTGTCCTCAAGGCTGAACATGGCAGGAGCTGGCAGCCTCTCAACCCTGTCTTCTGCCCTTGCCTCTTCAGGTATCTGAACCCAGCCTGGCCTTGCCATCCAGGGCTGCTCCAAAATGTCACTTGACCTGGGCGTCATATCCTCCAGATTGTTGTGTGACTGTTTAACAGGATAGTCTGATCCTGGTGTGGACTGAAATGGAGTTGAAAAGGTTTTGTCCTATTCTATGTTCCCTAACCTGGCACAGATCTCCATAGCTGTACAAACAAGTTTTTCTTGCTTATTCCCCCATCCCATTTATCTCTGGTATTTGTGAACTTATACTAAGAACTGTTCCAATAGGAAATATTCCAGCAAGTGGATGCTCCAGATAAAAGTTTAAGAGTTGCCAACTCACTTATATAAAGCAGATCACGCAAAACAAACTGATCCTTAGGCATCATTACCAGTTTAGGAAGTACAAAAAATTAAAGTGGGTAGGAGCGGGTGGATCACACTAAGCTGTGCCTGTACAGCCACTGGGAAAAAGATGAGGAAAGTAGGTTTTCTGTGCATGCTCTGTAAGTCATGGCTTAGGAGTCCAGGTCAAAGGAACAGACTGAACATTGTGTACAGGGGCAGGAGGCTCATGAGCCAATATTGGTATTTAACATTGTCCTCGGGGAGCGAGGGGAAGATGCAGGTTGTAACAAATGTGGAAAAACCTCCTTTCTCCTGCCCCTTTAAAATGAAGGAGTGGCTGGAAGAGGACAGAACCAGAGCAAACTCTAGAGACAAAAGCAGGGGCCTTTTTGCATTGTAGTGAAATTCAAAACCACTAGAAATGTAAAGACTGAGACAGAGAAAAACAGTGCAGCTATGCTTCACAGGACTGCTGGAGAGAAGCTGGCAAATTAAGATCCGAATATGTGGGATAAGTTTGTCTGAAAGGCAGCTAATATTATTTTTCAAGAGCTATCCCCCTGCAAGACAAGGGTAGACATGAGACATTCTATCCCCAGAAAATGTGAGTAGTGGGAATGCTTTGCTTGTTCTTGAGTTCTGGCTGAGCGTCGCTAGTGGTACTCAGGCCAGTGAGACAGGCCTTTGGTTGCCACCTAAAGCTGAGGTTCTCAGCATCTCTGTGGCTAAAGGATCACTGGGGACGTCTTTATTTTATGCTCTCCATTAGCTGAACAGCACACCCATTTATAACAAAATCTTTAAATAGCAGAGAATAGCCAGGAAGGGTCATGGCCAGCAGTTAATGCTCAGCTGCAGTACATGGCCTGTGGGTAAGTCACACAGGCCTTGGGATTTCTTCAGCAGCCAAGGCATCAGCTGAAGCTAAGACTCATTCACTTTGTTGCTTTTGTCACACCTGAACTTTCCAACAGGGAAGAGGCATGTGGTGAGCGAGTGCCACTTGATGCCACCAGTGCTCCCTGGATCATGCAAGGCTAATGCAGCATCCTCAACCAGAGTCCTTGCTCCCTCAGCTACCAAGCTCAGAAGAGGAAGGAATGTGTTCCTCTCCCCTCACCTCTTCTTTTCCTCACCACATTAAGGCTTTTAGTGTTAGGACATCCAAGAGTTTGTGGCACCACTGAAAAAATGCCACAATTGGCCTGGTGTCTTCTCAGGGTGGAGGTAGCCATAGCTGAAGGGTAACTGCCTAAAAGATATAAATATAATTTAATTTGATAGATAACAGGTAGTTGTTTATACAAAATAATCTGATTTTTCCTTCCTCAGAATGTCTGAGGAAGGGCTTTAGAGTAATCCTGTACAGTTCATTACTCGAGTGACTCACTTTTCTCTGGTGAAGAGCATTGCTGGCACCCTAAAACTTCCATGCCATTAACGTGAGTTGTAAATAAGCCGCTCGGGACAGGTTAGGTATTTTAAATTCTATAGCTCTTTCTGTAAGCATAGGAATGCTATTCAGAGCATTCTGGCAAAAATTCAGCATGAGCACTTATATTCTGCCAACTCCAATCCCCTCCTGGAGTTTCAAATGGATACGATATTTATCTTCACTTCCCGTCTTAACTATTGTGTGTTGTCACTGTAGGTTGCTAAACAACTGCTGTCTCATCGGTGGCTGTATTTTGCTGGCAAATAAAGTGAGCCCCATGTGCGTATGAACCATGAAGCTATTTGGAGCCCTTGCATAAGAACCCCAAGATACGTGTAAGCTGTTAATATTTATTATGTGGAGCTGAGAACATCACTGAAGATGGAGGGATTACAGTAACTGAGTTCAGGCTGCTGAACAGCCAGACAGAATGAAAGAGAAAACAGATGCCCTGAAGGAATAAGAGCAAAATGCATGAGGAATTTTCTGCATGCAGGATTAGACTCCAGTGGAGCATGGAAAGAAAGAGGCTAGGAATGCTCCAGAGAGCCAGGGCAGATAGGACGGAGGCAACACTACAGCTTCTTGCTTGGAGGTGAATCTTCCACTTCCCTGGCTGGCTGGGTGCAAACAGCAGGAGCCCTGTGAGAAGGGACAAGGTGTTTCCAAGGCAGGTGAGAGAGGATTCAGTCTTCTGGGATGTGCAATGCTTGGCCACTGGCCCTCGGGCTGCTAGGTGTTTCAAGAGTCTTCTAAGCTGTTTTCTCTTTTTGTCTCATCTCTCAGAAACAGCATGACCTAGAAACTCTGCATTTCTTCTGCTAGTTTTGCCTGAGCTGGGAAAAGAGTTTTTCTCTTCCTTACAAAAAACTATTGATAGTGGAGAACAACACCAGGTCCTTTCTGCAGAGCAAGATCCTCAGTGAACCAGCTGCTTTGATGTCCAAAGGACTGGTAACAAGGGAAGTCAAGACTCAGAGAGTGAGAGGTTCTGGAAGGGTAGACAACCTCATACCACACACTCCAGAAATTACAGAAATGCTTCTGCACAAAACCCGTGTGGTTACTACAGCACTGAGGTCGCCATCAGCCACCAAAATATCTTGGGAAGCCACTGCGGCTTGTTTCCAAAAGCAGCCACAAGCCCAGTCACCTAAAACTGAGGTTCCTTGAGGTAGTTGGGCATTTCTGGACACACAATTCAGAGAGTTCTCAACCAAAGTGAAAATGGGCAGAGGCGGCAACCTCCAACCTCTGATGAGAGTTGGTTGCTTTGGAAAATTCAGGACTCCTTTCAAAGTAGTGGAATCAAAACTGAGCTATTAGTGGTTTCATGCCTCAGAGATTTGGAAAGTCCCTCACTCCAGCGGCTCCCACGGCAGCTGGCATTGAAGCACAACAGGTAGCTGCTCTTGTTTGCCTGTGTGCTCGGGGCTCCTCCTGCCTTTGTTGCTGCCAGAGCCCCTCGACGCCTGTCTTGGCTGCAAACCCGCTCAGCAAAATGGCCAAAGGCCCGGTGCATCCATGACCTCTGGATGGTCAGGGTCCTGCTCATACAGCTAGGGAGAGGGTTACCCTGTGCACATGGGTACAAGGGGAGGGGAGAGCCCCAAGGCCTTTGTCTCCAGCAAATCTCCAGACCTGCTGTGCTAGGGCCACCTGTGCCAGGAAAGGGATTCCTCTGTGCCTAGTTTTAGGCAAAGTGGAGCAAACTGGCTGGGTCACCCAGTGTAGCCTTGGCTAAAGGTTTGCTGTGGGTGCTGCTGCAGGGTGAGGGCAGAAACAGAAGCTCATCTCTAAATGGGCTTGCCAGGCACTGCTCATTGGTTCAGCGTGGAGGATGGCCCCAGCCCTGCAGACACTTGCTATGTAGGGAGAGAAGTGGCTCATCCCTCTCTTTGAAGCAAGAAACATATAGAGAAGCAGCTTCAGAGCTCACCCCTAAAATACTGACAGCTCTTAAATGCAAATGAGAGTCAGGCACTAAGGCAAAATAGGTTTTGATATGAATTCTTCTTTCAGGTAGTTCAATAATTTACTGAACTCCCCACCCCTTAATCCAAATGAATTCTGGAACCAACTCTGCTTTTTCTTATTGTTCCTGTTGTTACCTCTTCCAGGATTTCTCAGCTGCTGCACTGAGGAATAACCAAAATAGCTCCACAAGGGACTTCTTGGAGATCTGAAGGCTAGAAACAACAATAGCAAAGTAACAAAAAAATAAAAAAGGAAAAAAAAAGGGCTAGATAGGAAATGGAAAAGGTGAGGAGACAAAACCAACATGCAGTCAATAAAAGCTTTCAGAGAAGAGATAAGAGCAACAAAACAGAATGGCTTACTGCTCTCACTGCTTGCTAAAGATGTAGTGGGAATATGAAAAGAGCTTTTGCAAATGTCTGGAGGGGGAAAGAAATTAGAGGAGAAGTGTATCCATTAGTAAATGAGTGCGTGAGTGTATTATTCATAGCTGCAAATATCTGAACTGCAAAAGTGTGACATTTTTGTTTCTGTCTGTCTTTAGTGGCAAATTTAAGAATTTCGGATAGCAAGGATGTAATTAAGACCTAATAAAGCAGCTTGTGCCTGCTGCAGCAAGCAAGGAACGTGGCAGCCTCCCTCCCAAACTCCAAAGGGCTGTTCACCTGCTTGAAGTGACTCTGTGTTTGCAGAACTGCAGCTCGCTTCATCATGTAAAAAACCCCAAGCGATACAGCACTTAGGCAGAAATAAGGTACAATATTCAGTGATTTAGCTGAGGCACATTATTAGCTGGTGCTCTTCACCATGGGACTTCATTTTGGTAAGTCACCGAGGTCCTGAAGCTGTTTGGCACCAAGAGACCCTTGCTGTGATCTCCTTGAGCCCCGGCAGTGTCTCTTGGAGTGGAGAAGAGGACTATGCCGTGCCTGGAAGCAAGGTGGGCGGCCGAAGGCGCCTGCAGTTTGCAGCTGCCATTGCCAGCCCCACCAGGAAGGCGCTGTTAATTGTTATGCTTGGCACCTCCGGACAGCCTGGCTACATCTGGTCGGCCGCCTGCCAAGCGCGCGAGCGGATGCGTCGTTCTGGGGAGACACGTTGTCGTGCTAATGGTCTTATGTGGAGCTTTAAGTGGGCTGGGGACCTGAGGCTCTCCAAGCAGGAGAAGCATTTCACTCGTCTCTAATTAGACCAATTTCTCGAGCCGGAGCATTGGAGCAGGGCTGTGATTCCTGGAGACATAGATGGCCCCGTGGGCTGTTTGCCAAACCGGCTGTGGACTTTGCAGGATCCCCCACGCAGGGAAGCTGGGAGTCACGCTGCTGCACTGAGCCTTTTGCCACAGCCTCTCCCACACTTCACCACCAGATGGACATGTGCTGGTTTTGTTGTCCTCAGGGCAGTCAAACCCCGTGACACAAATCAAAACGTGTGGTGAACATGGCAGTGCTGGGTTGATGGCTGGACTTGATCTTGGAGGTGTTTTTCAGTCTAAATGATTCTGTGACTCTGTGAGAAGGGAGAGATGTGAGGTCCAAGGGTTACTAAGGTTCTGCATCCACTGGGAAAGCCAATTTTGTGCCCAGTAGAACAGAAATGAGAGTAGTTTCCAGAACAAGAGCAGCCACAGCTAGTGGAGATCAAGGGATGAGAGAAGATTATGTTGTGACAAACTTTGCTTGAGAGGTGGCTGGTGTTTATTGAACCACAGGTGGGTGGCAGCTTCGACAGGAAATTTCAGCAGAGGATATCAGTACTTCTGTTTCTGAAAAAGAGAATGAAAATTGACAAGGCTATAAATACAGCTATGCGAAAGCGCGCTGCCTGGAGGACCTGGGCTGCGATGATAAATGACTGCTGAGTGCTATTTAGGGCACAGAGGCCTAAGGAAGTGCCAGCAAACTAAATATCCAGTCAAGCCTTGGCATCTTCACTAATGAGTTCAAAGGAGGATGGCAAAGGGAGCTGCTCCAGGCTCCCAACTTATCCAGTGCTGATGAAGTCCCTGTGGTGGAAAACAGCTCTGAGAGGCACAAACTGCAGCAGTGTCACTGCAGAAACACTCCCAGGCAGCAATGCTGGGGTTGTGATGGCCTCATTAGAAGTTCAGTGTGTTCACCAAACCCTGTTAAGCAGATCATCTGGCATGGACACGTGGCAGGGAGGTAGCACAAAAGGGGGATCTGGCACACGGGCTTGGTGGGGACAGCCTTCTGCCACTTTAGGAAAATACAACAGGCATCGAAACCAGAAGGGTTTGGTGTGACACACCACGTCAGACAACCTCCAGAGAGACAGCCCTGTGGAGCTGGGGTGGACAAGCATCCTGATCTGCCAGTTTCTCCATGCCACTTCAGTGCCTCCATTTATTTTTGCTAGCACGATGAAAAAAACCAAGTCACACGAGGGTTTTCAAATGGGAATAATTCCCTGGCTGAGCACCAATAAAATTCTGACTTTTTATTGCCGCCTGGTATGTAAACACATTTCAAAGGGCTTCAGCATCAGAGGAGAAGGAATCTCTAATCTGAGCCAGCTCCTGTGAGCTGGGAGCAGTGGCCATGCTCTCTGGGCACCAGCTATTTTGTGGGAAGGTGTCACTCCTGATCTGTAGGGAGGAAGGGAAGGAAGTGGCTCCAGAGCTCGGTGTTTGAGCTCGCCTTGGACTGCTGACACTGCAGCTCTATTGCTGGTGGGCAGAACTCTGCAGTGTCCCCATCCTCCAGCCTACCCCCAGGCTGCCCTTTGGCTCTTTCGGAGGAGCCAGAGGAAACCAGGTCGAGGAGCTCATCTGGATTAAAAAATAACCCAGGGGGGGAAAAAAAAAAAAATTAAGAAAAAAAAAAAAAAAAAAAAAAAAAAAGGGATTTTTTTTCAGCCAGATCAGTTCCCCAGCTGGGCTTGGCGAAGGGACTCACGTGCAGCCGAGCTGCTTGCGGCACTCGGTTTTGGAGCCATTCCCACCGTGGGGGTTGTGTGTGGATGGCAATTGCAGAAGTGCACGGGGCCTGGGAAACGTCAGCAAGATGCAGCAAACTCCGCTCGGCCCTGCTTTGGCCCTTAGAGGCACCATGCACATGAGGGGGCAGAGCGAGATACACATCTCTGAGGACAGGGGAAGCTGGGGAGGAGCCAGCACAGGTCGTGGCAGGGGGATGATGTGGGCAAAACTGGGTTTTGCTACCCTGAGGGTAGGAAAGGGCTGAAGAGTGGAGGGTAGAGAGGGGTAGTGCACGCAGAGAAAGCTGAGGAGGGACTGAGTGACTGCGCTGTGCTGCTTGTCCTGGTCCTGGCCACTTGTAGTGTTGGCCAAGGTGCCCTGAGCTTCCTCCCATCAAACAGCTCCCAGAGCTGGCTCCTGCCAACAGACAGGGAGGGCTGCAATGTGCTAACACGGACTTGGGAGGCTGAGGACTATAAAATGGATTTAGCCCCCTTCTAATGGCTGAGATCCGAGAAAAGATTTGCAAACCACCCCATCAGTGGCAGAAACCCGTTTCCACAGAGCTAAGGACAGGGCTCCCCAGTCTTGTGAGCTCAGCTCCTACGTGCTGGTGGTGTCTGTTTGCAGAGATGTACAGCAATGAATTGCTCATCGCCAGCTCCCTCGCTCTCCTCTCGAATCCCCAAACACCTCTAGTTTATCACTCCAGCAGCAGTGGCACTCCCACAGGGGAGCAGTGCCATCCTTGGCTAACCGAGGCATGTCAGAGAGACACTCTTACTCCCCTTGTTCCAGCTACACTGAGCACACAGGCTGGTTGGAAATGAGAGAGACCAGGGGAGACCAGCCCCCTGGGGAGCGTATCCTCTCCACAGCTCCCGGGGAGGATCTGCAACAGGGATAGTCAATTCTGCATTATCTGCAGCACAGGGAAGGCAGCTGGGGCTCCTGAGGAGCTGGCAGGAAGATGGAGGAGCTGAAGGAATACAGCAGAATTTGCACTGTGTTTACTCAATGTGTCCAAAACACAAGGCCAAACCATTTCTTTATGGCCTGGCTGATGTGCAGAATTTTGACCATGGTGACTGCTGCTAGAGAGATTCCAGACACCCTCAGAAAGGCACCAGCACAAACCCCTTCCAGATCCTCCTACACCGTTGCAAAAGGCCAGCACAGCCTTGCAGGAGCAGTACTGCTGCACACAAAAGTGCGGTGCAAAAGCAGGAGGATGCAAGTGCCAGCAAAAGGAAACTGTGCTGGGAGAACTGCTCCTGCCTGCTTTGCAGGAGCCTGCGCCTTCATGAGTGTCCTGCCCTGAAACTCCACAGCTTGTCCCTAAATACCTGTGATGTGCCATGCCTGGCCACTGCACTGAGCAGAGTACCTGAGGGCAGCAGAGGGTGATCAGCCTAAGGGGCTATGTGGATGGAACGAAGTAGTCCAAAAACACTGCCATGACCAACAGCAGTAACACAGATCTTGCAAACTTAACTAAGCCCCTACATTAACCCACTGATCCATCATGCCTTGATTAGAGATTGGCTAGAAGATGTTTTAGATTATACACAGGGAAAGTCCTGTGCTTCTGAGGAAGCTCTGCTGTGTATTCAATGAATAAACCTGCCCAGGTGTTCAAACACATTGAATGAGATTGCTTATTATTCTCGTGTTTGGCAAAAATAATAGCGGCTTCTTTCCATTTGTGTTCCGTTCTTCCAGCCTCTGAGGTGCCTCAGGTAGCTTATCCAAGTGCTTCTCTGCAACCCCCGAGGCCCAGAGCTCCCAGAAAAGCAAAAGGGGCTCAGCAGAGGGGATGCAGCCAACAGACATCATCTCCTCACCCTTCTCCCCACCTGCTCAATTTCCCCCGTCCCACTGATGCTAAATGCAACTTTGCCAGGCCTGAGCTTGTTCTGTCCTCAAGGCATCTGTGGTATTTTAGACATACACATGTTCTTCCCACCCTCCAGCTCCTGAGACCCATCTAAAGGGCTGAGGAGGGGGCTGCAGCTGCCACCAGCAGTAGCTCCCACAGCTGCTACTTGGCCCTGAGTGAGCAAGAGCTTCCCCTCAGCACCAGCACATCTACTCAGCCTTGGCTGTGAGCAACGAGCTTCCTGCGAGCAGTCTGGCAGCCCTGGGGAGCTGCAACTAAAACTTGAGCCACAGAACATCACTCTGGATCCCCACCAGCTGCAAGGGCTGGGGAAGACCTTTTTAAATAGAGTTTGCTGATCCCTCTTCAGTCTGGAGGAAAGCTCCGCCAACATCTAAAAGCTGCCTGCTTTCACGTGCAAGGATTGTTCACTACAGGAAAAACAGGTTTAAATAAGTAAGAAGAAAAATAAAAGAGTACTTGAAAGGGAAATAGTTCCGCAAATTGAGACCCAAAGAATCCCGAAGGTATTTGATGCTTGAACGGCTGAATAAGATGCCATTCTGCAAGGCGAAGCATTCAGACTCATTTGTTTATTTAAATTGGCATGGAGATGCTGCTCAAATTTGCTGCCTGCAGCCATCCATCAGCCAGGATGTAGCAGGCTGACAAAAGCACCTCAGGCACAGGGGGATGCAGAGCCCCCCTCACTCACTGCCTTCCTCAGGAGGGATTTCTACTACCAGGTGGGCACGGCAGCAAGGGTAGGTGAAGCTGGGGGCAGCTTACCCTCCAGAGCCACGGTTTTCCAACTCAGATGCAATTGCATGGCTGGTTCCTGGGAGACCTATGGGGATGGGGCCATCCTTTGCTCCCCCCAGGCTGTGACACTTCTGGTATCACATCAGATGCTGTCGAAACAGCCCAGCAGCACGGAGAGCAATAATTCTCAGAGCGGTTTGGCCCTCGGCCAACAGAGTGTGAGCACAGCAGGGAAACCCAGCTCTGGGGCACCTGTGAGATGGGGCAGCCTGTGGCAAGTTGCCCCAATTGAATCTGGGAGTGGGAGTTACAAAAGGCAGGAGCAGCCTGTCAAACCAGTCCTTAGAGGTGTTACAGTGCCGGTAACAGCTGTACCTGCCCGGACAAGCCAGCAGGCTCCGGGGTGGGATGCAGACCCCATGCAGCCATGCGAAACTCAGGCTGATGGTCCAAACACGCTGCGGTCTCCTTAGAGGGAGTGCCCACAACTCGTATTACTGCTTTTTCCACCCTATAGTTAGCAGGGACAGAGAAGTTTTGGGCCTGGCATGGGAGAAGAGCCGAGGGAAGAAGTCAGTAACGCTTCTGAGCATTCTCGTCGCCCAAGCGCAAGGCCGCTCGCAAGGCAGGAGGGCAACACCGACACACAGATGGAAAAGGTGCTGGTTTTGAGGGGTGGGTCCTCCAAACACAGGAGCCACTTTGGAGGTGCCTTCTGGCCCCTCCCCTGCTGCATGGCGCAAACAGAACTGCTGCAGTTGGTGAGGACAAATGGCTGTCAGGGCAGGAAGCAGCAAGAAATGGGAATTCGCTGCAGGAGGTTTGACAAGTCCACATAGGACCAGACCAACTAATTTTTGACCACCAGCCTCTTCCTGGCCCCTCAAGGCTCAGGATGTTATAAAACCCCCCAAAGGTTACTGCAGCCTGTCAGGAATGACCCTCAAAAAATTGGGCAGCTAGGAAAAGGGGAATTTTGTTTCCCATCACCAGCAGGACCTGAGCTCAGCTGCAATCAGAGGAGAGGTCTGTTGGTTGAAGCTGGAAATAAAGGTGAGCTAAACCAAATCCAGGCTTTGTTTAACTGTGTTGCATTCCTCTCTTTAGGGCTCTGGTGATGCTGTTTTCCAGACTAGTGCCAGACATTTTCTGTGGACGGGTTCCCAACGGTTTTCCAGGTGAAGAATTGTGATAAAACCCTGACCTATTATGTTGTAGGACACATCCTTTTCACCCTCACATATTCCAGGAATGGGATTTATTTGGGATATTTACAGCTGTGAAGGAATGGCACCTGGGTAAAACATCTTATGAGTCAGAAAAGGAAACCCCCACAATTAAAATGCAGCTAAAGAAAACATGTGAAACCCGAGATATAGAACAAATCCCAGCTTGAATCATCTGGTTCCAAGACCTTCGTGGAGCCCATTGAGCCTGAGCTAATATCTATTCACAACATGCAAGAAGCAAAGACAAATAGGGATGGCCTGGAGCTAAAGTTACACGGCGCTGCATCCAGAGACAACACCAGCCCCCTCTTCTGCTCTGACACCGGTCAGGGAACCGACCCTGCTCCCCCCTGTACGTGCCTCTCTGGTGCTGGCACCATGCTGCCCTCACACCTCAAAGCCCTTCTCCAAGCAGGGCAGGAACACCACAAATGGGAGCACACAGCCCTCTGCAAACTCGACAGCTTTTGGTGACGAGACCTCAGGCTTGGAAAATACCTTGGTGTACTCTGGGCCCTGTGGCAGCCCGGCAGTGCTGCCCGGTGTGTGATGTACCCAGAGGGCAAGAGGTTGGGTGAGGTGCTTTTTGTCGTCCTGACCTCCAGCTCATCCCCAGCAGGGAGCTGCCTGGTGACATGACAGCTCCTGGCTGGTATTTCTCCCACAGGAACTTGTCTGAGGGGTACACGCAGCAGCCTCTTTCAGGTTCCTCCCGTGGCAAGCATTCACCCCAAGCATGGCAGTTCATTGTGACACCGCATCCAGGAGGCGAGAGAAAGCCAGCCCTGCGTACTGTGGGGTATGCAAACCTACCAAAGCCTCCTTTGCAGCCCTGACTGACCCACAGGGATCAGCTGGCAGCTGCACCCTGACATAAAGCCACAGCTTCCTCCCTGTCCCCTGGCCGGCACAGCGCTGCTGCTGGCCAACCACCCCACGTGAAGCTCTGCTTGTGCTGGCACAGGCAGCGTGAGCTGGGCAAGCAAAGGCTGGCCATGGAATGGTTGTGGTTAACCTGAGCCACTTTGGCAAAACAGGTCACTGGCTGACCCAGTAACTTTGTAAGTGCCCAGGAGGAGGCCAAGCCTGCTAGTGAGGCGGCTGGTGGTGACGGCAAGTCGGGTTCAGTTACCTTTTAACCCGGCTCAGCTGCAGGCAGCTCAGATGCAATCAGATGTTTCAGTGTCATTTCCTTTCCAGGTCTCGTTTTGCTTTCCGAATTTTGCATTTCTGGGCAGTTGGGAATCTGTCCTGGCTTGGATGATGAGCACAGCTCCGTTGAGGGCTCTGTGGGGCTGCAGGCAGGGACCGTGGGTCTCTGTGAGGCAGAGCGTGCAGCTCGCGGCAGCACAGCCACATTAGCCCTGCAATAAACCATCACCCCAAGCAGGGTTTAATGGTTCAGCCAGATTAATGAGCCTGGGAGAGACGATCCGGTTCATGCCCCACACGTGTGGTTCACTCAGTGCAGCCCAGGAGAGCACCGTGATTAAGCCAATGCAGACAAAATTTGCCAGCTAAGAGACTGCAGGGTCGGAGCAGTCCTGCTGACAGTGGCTCCGCTGGCTTTCCTGCCTGTGCCCGTCACCCCTCCCAAGCCAGTTTAAATGGCTCTCTCTGGGATGCTTTGATAAGCCTCTGTATCTCACAAGTACTTCAGGAAAGAGCAATAAAATGAGATGTAGATAGGACAGGAGCACGAGGGGAGAGCAAATGGCCCACGTGTTGCAGTTGCCACTTCCAGACATAGACAACAGTCCCTTCCTTTGAAGGGAAAGGCAGCTATTGGATTTTCAGGATGTCACTCTGCTCTGTGTCCCCATCTTTGCCAAGGGTAGAGGAGCTGTGGGTCGATATGACCGAGGTGCAAGCAGGGGTGAGGCAAGCAGGGGTGAGGCAAGCAGCCTGCCAGCACAGCGTGGGCCAGGCTGAGGTCTCCTTCATGTCCTGATTGTTGCCTCCCACGGGGCTGCCCTGGCTGCTCACTACTTGTAAGGGATGTCTTATGGGTGCCGTAAGCACCTTCTGGTACCCGCGTCCATCTCCCCTCTCCCCGTGGTGAAGGAGCAGTACCTTTGAGACAGCCCACCCAACATTGATAACCTCTCTCCACAGTGTTATCAGAGGCCTTATCAGTGCATGCAGCTGGCACTGTTTGCAATTAAATTGGTTTCAAGCCTATTTTCTTTACAGTTACCCGTCTGGACATGCTTGAATCAGTCACAAGGGCCAGGAAAATCAATCAGGCCCCAGCCAAAACCCGTTCAGTCAGTTTAACTCATTTGGCTGCAAGTCCCAGGTGCATTTGCCTATGCTGGAGGTTGGATGGGGCAAGGTGAGGGGAGCATCAGCTGTTGTGCTCCCAGGGGAGGTCGGCTGCAATGTGAGCCAGCCTCAGCTGGCATGGGGCTGTGCTGGTCAGGGGCTGTGACTTCTGGCCCTACCCTCACACCCTTCCCAAATCCACTTGCTGTGTCTCTGCACATCTGGGAGGCTTAAAGTCCAGCCTGTAGCTTTTTGATAGATGTGCTCACAACAAGAGAAGACGCTGAAAAAGGTGCCAAATCAGGGAAGCCTCAGGTCAACATCCAGGCCTAAGAGGGGAGGGCAAGGGAAAGCAGAAGGGATGGCTGGACTGGCACCTCACCTGAGACCTTCAAGGCAAAGATGTGCTTTCAGGGAGGCTGTGGTGGAAACCACACCAAGGGGAATATTTCAAAGCTAACTCCAGAAAACATTGTCCCAGGAGCAATCCTGCAAGTATGGGGACAGCTATGGTTTAATGTGTTTCTCCCGTCTCTGATTTATGGGAGGAAAAGTCACAGTTCAGAGGTGTTGGGGGTATCCCCAAGCAACAGGCAGCCAAAGAAAATCCACAGGTTGAGGTGAGCCTGCCTGGTCCTGGCCAACAGCCCCAGCTCCCACAGAAAAGGCCCAGCAAGCGTCCCTTCCCTGGATCCAAGGTAAATCTCTGGCAGCTGGTGAGCACTTCAGGCCCCTGCAGCATGCACAGAAGAGTTAACTGCTGCTTCACCACACCACAGGGAGCTTCCTGTGGTTTCTCTCACTGTTTTCCATCCATATCTTCACAATTATCTCACTCATGTGCTGCCCAAGCAGCTCTTGGCATCCCTCTGGCTGCAAGCTGAGCACAGCCGCTCAGCCAGAGGCTTTGCAGCCAAGCAGCTGAGCAGCAGGTACAGGTGAGAGTTCTGCTATGGCCCGGGCTTCACATCATGGAGAGGATGTGGGCTCTGGGATTTGGCCATGTCCAGTCTGACAGCACCTTCCTGCATTTCCCCAAGTTTCCTCCTTCGGCTCCAGAAGGCACTGACTGATTAAGGTAATCACTGAGATCAGCACCAGGCTCTGGGTCAGAGGCACATGCCACTACAGTGCTGTGGAACCAGGGCTTTTCCTCCTCATGGGCAGCAGCAGACACACCGGAGGGCACCCCAGAATCTGACAGAGGTGAAGATTAATCTGGAATGAGTGCAAACAGCAAAGTAAAACTCCTCCAGATTACGGCCACCAGACAAAAACCAGCTCAGCATGCCATCTTCCTTGCTGCCCAAGCTGGGAAAGGAACTCTGACACACATCTCAGTATGCCCAGCACCACCCAAGGCTGGTGCTGCACTGGATGAGCCTTTGAAAAAAGCATTTCTCAACATACTGGCTGTGGTTACTGCCTGGGACAATGCTGGGAGGGAATACGCCTAGAGGTACCGTGACCAGTGAGTAACTTGACATGTAGGTGCTGGAATTCAGGTCTGGAAGAGGCCCTGCAGTGAGGATTAAGGACAGCAAGACTGCAGAGAGCATGCAATGGTCTTGTCTTCCCCCTCAGGACCTCCATGGCACCAGAACTTCCTTTTCTGATGGCACAGTTCCATTTTAGAGGATTTGGAAACTGTACCCAAGTGGCAAATGAGAAAACTCCCTTTGCCCTTGCCTTTTCCATGGTACTCCCCAGCTCTCCTGTGGGATCTGCCAGCAGGCCAGAACTGCAGCAAGGGGGGATAAGAGGAGCAGGTGAGATGGGGAGGCAGCAGGACCAGGGAAGCACGGAGGCGGGTCAGTTTAACCTGAGCCTGGTTTAGTGAGGAGAAACACGGAGTATCTGCAAACTGGGAATTCGAGAGGGGTGACAGGTGACAGCCATGGATGCTGTGTGTGGAGAGAGAAGTGCAGTTCACTCTTCTCCAGGTTTGTTTTTTTTTCCCCTCATGTTGTGATAATTATGTTTGCAAAAGCAAATTAACACTCAAGTGTGAAGAGCAAAACTCAGCTTTGGGAAGGAGGGAAGGAGCAAACTGCCTCCCTCCAAGAGGTCATCTACCTCTCCTTGACTGCAGCAACAGCTCCATGTACCCCCAAGGCTCCCAGCCATTCCTTTGGGGTACACATGGCTTCCAACATGTTCCCAGAATCCTTCCATCCCCTGTTGTTGCATCGTTCACAGAGATGAATTCCTTTTGACCTCACCTTCACCTTTGCTTTGTCCACTTCTGCACACTGGGAAAATAAAAAATGCTACAGCTTATCCGGTTTCCAAAGCCAAACAGTGATTAGCTGTTGGCTCATGTGTCCACCACTGTGAGAGCAGGCAATTACTGACCCCCTGCACTCCAGAGGGTGCAGGCTAAGCCAAGCTCAAGAAGTGGAAAGAGCTAGAGAAATGAAGGCAGACAGCATTCTCCTTTTCTGTTCTCTGTTGCTCCTGAAGGGAGGGCACCAGAAAACACCCAGCCAAGCAGCATTTCTTCCACAAGAAGGGTTTGCTGTCATACTCAGAGCAGGTGATTCAGAACAGGAGCATGCAGTGACATCAGGATTCTCAGTGCTCTGAGCTGCTTATATTCAATTGCTGTTAAAAACCTCCTCTGCCTTGCTGCAGAGCTGTCTCTGAAACCACTTTCTTATTCTGTTTTTTTTTTACAGTGGAGCATTTTATCAAACTTAGGTTGAAACATATTCAGTTGCTGCCAAACCAAATTTTTGCTTCACCTTTCCGACAAGCCATCGCTGCCTTGGTATTACTTACATTCCTGCTCTTCTTAGAGGCAGTGGTGGAAGCTCTGATACATCACGCGGTCTGAAACTCTACCACAAAATATAGCTCCACGCTAAGGAGTTTGCAGGCTGGAGAGCCATTAGCAGGTACATGTGGTGTGAACGGGGCCTGTCAGGATGCTGGTGGCAGCAAACACTCTTTGTCTCCATGCCCACTGTCCTCCCTTGCCCTCCCAGCTGCAGAATGACTGGATTTTTCATGCTGCCCAGAATTGTTCTGTAGTAGATGAGGATGAAATTCAATCTCTTTGCCTTTAAGATTTCAAACTGAAAAATAGCCAAATGCTATTTGCATTTCAGCAAATAATCCGGGGAGCAGGGCTGCCAGAAACCCCTAAATGAGAGCAAACAGTCCTTATCTGGCGAAGTTTTACGTTACTTAACACCAGTGCAAGTTTAAAGGCATTTTTTTGTTTCTGTTGCACACAAGGCATCTTTTTCTGGGCGGATCCTGCTATTAGGGTTAGTCCCTGAGTATTTGTACCAGCACTTGTTCATCTTCCCACTTGCTCAACTACAGCCTGATTGCTGGAAATGCTGATTGCCCGTGACTGTAATTTTCTTCGGATAAAAGGCCTCAGAGCACTCAAGGAGGAGATAAATATCATTGTCTCATGCCGTTTGCATTGTGTCTGATAGAAATGTCACTTTGTTGTTTCCCTCCCT